TTCTCCCGTCCCTTCTCTCCCCACCCCTATGTTCCCATTATGTCAGGCAATCCTGTCCGTTTCAACTTTCAAGTTGAATCTATGTATGTTTTTCTTAGGGTTCACCTTGTTACTTAGCTTCTCTAGGATCATGAACTATAGGCTCAATACCATTTGTTTATAGCTACTATCCACTTATTAGTGAAAACATACCATATTCATCTTTTATGATCTGGGTGCCCTCACTCAGGATGGGGTTTTCTAGTTCCATTCATTTGCTTACAAATTTCAAGATGTCATTGTTTTTTTTTTTTTTTTTTTTTTTTACCACTGAGTAGTAAATGTATAAATGTGTCAATTTTTTAAATCCATTCTTCCATTGAAATTCCCCTCTTTTCTAAGTTAAATTATCCTATCTACCTTTTGCCTCTGGGCTTTTATCTTTTCTATTTCTGTATACCTTACTATCCTTCTTACTCCATGGCTGGTGGGGTGGCTGGGTGGTTGGGCCCTGGTGTTCTCCTCTCCTTGTTCTCTCTTCCTCCTCCATCTCTCTTTGTTCTCCTTTTATTGTTTCTGCATGCTAACCCTGCCTACCTTTGCTCCTGCCTCACTATTGGTGATTCATCTCTTTATTAGGATGATCAGGTGTTTGGGACAGGCACGGTAACACAGCTTCACAGCATTAAACAAGTGCAGCATAAACAAAAGTCACACACCTGAAAATAATATTCTCCAACAGCCACCCATCTCCATCCATACCACACTGCCTAGAAGGCACTTAGCTCTGTGAATTACTGCACCAGTTTCTTGTCCACTTCTGAGCTCTGGTGCCTAGTTCTTTCATGATATTTTTCTTTCACTGCCTGAATTCAGTGGCCATAGCACCACTGTGCTATTATCGTGTAGCAATTATACTTCTCTTTTCGTTTATGTTATAGATGTGAAGCTTGGACCCCTGAAGTGACGCTCAACAGATGGGTCGGTCTCCAATACTTTTACTGGATTTGGGGACCCTATTTGTTATACTGGGTTACCTTGCTCAGCCTCAATACCCATGGAGGTACTTAGTCTTATTGCAACTTGATATGCAATGTTTTATTGATACTCATAGGAGACCTGCCTTTCCTGATTTTGAGGGGCTGGAGGAATCGAAGGGTAAGAGATGCAATTTCCAAAGCTATGAGAAGACATCAAAATACCAAATATTGTAATTGTGGTAGAATAGGACATCTGACAAGGGATGGTAGAAAAGGCACTCCCAGGAATAATGTCACATCTTGGAATGACGAAAATAGAAGGTCTCAGTCTTCTGGATTATGTAGAAGATGTGGCAAAGGCCAACACTGGACCAATGAGTGACTGAATGTAGATCAGAAAGAGACAAACAAGGCAACCCGATATCATCATGAAACTCCATGGGGATCCTCTCACAGGCCCCCAGGTCAAACATAATCCAGTCATTTCCAGTTACTGTGGAGGATACATCTTAATAGGAAAATTAAAATATTCACTGCCTGCTGTGAAAAAACATCCTGTTCTGGATGATGGGTTAAGCATGGAGGATAAATCAAAAATTAAAACAGAAAATAGGAAATGTATATTTTGGCATATTTCTATAAATGATCAAAGACCAAAGCTAAAGTGCATAAAAAATAACACTGTAATAAGGGATTACTGGACATGGAAATAGATGTGACTATCATTATTCCAGGATCTTGGCATCCAAATTGGCCTCTTCAAAAAGCAGATGTTCTAGTCCTAGGAATTGGAACCCTATCTCAAGTGAAACAAAGCACGAGATTGGTTGAGTGCATAGGGTCAGAAGGACTGCAAGGAAGGCTGAGGTCATATTTGGCTAGTATCACATTGAATGTGTGGGGTTGTGACCTGCTGTGGCAATGGAATACCTAGGTTAACATTCCTGCAATCTCAGAATTTCTGGGAAAGACACTATAAGGTACTATATTTTAAAAAAGTTCACCAGCCACTCAGGCTATATAAGAACACAAAACGAGTAGCAAACCTTCAGAGGTACCAAAGGCCCTGATTTAAAATAGTTAACTGAGAAACCAATATGGGTTACACAATGGCCTTTAACAGAAGAGAAACTGCAGGCTTTAGAACAGCTGGTACAGGAGCAACTAGGTGATCGCCATATTGAAGAATCAACCAGTCCTTGGAATTCTCCTGTATTTGTAGTTAAAAAGAAATCTGGAAAGTGGAGAATGGCGACAGATCTAAGAGCTGTCAACAAGGTAATTCAACCACGTGCCCTCTACAATCTGGAATTCCTCTGCTTTCCCCATGACCTAAAGGATGGCCTCTTCTAGTTATTGATTTAAAAGATTGTTTTTCACTATACCTTCAAAAGAAAAGGACAGAGAAAAGTTTGCCTTCACAGTGCCTATTTACAACAATTCTCAGTCTACTAGGACATTCAATGGACTGTCCTCCCAAAGGACCCCACCCTGTGCCAATTCTTTTTAATTCATACATTGGAAATACTACACAAACAATTTCCTAAACATATAACTTACCATTACATTGATGATATTTTGCTATCTGATTCAAACATAGATAATTTAGAAAGAAGGTCTGAAGAAGTAAAGAAAGTTTTGCCTAAATGGGGATTACAAATTGCTCCTGAAGAAATACAAGGAAGAGATTTTGTCAATTACCTAGGTTACAAAATAGGTTAACAGAAAAATTAGAACAAAAAAAGGCACAAATTAAGAGAGACCAATTGCGGCCTCTTAATGACTTTCAAAGATTGTTAGGAGACATGTCCAATCTATGACTGGCTGTTGGAATAACACCCGATCTAATAATTCATTTAAACAAAACCTTAGATGGTAACAGAGACCTAAATAGTCCCAGGGAATTAACAGCTGTAGCTGAGAAAGAATTAATCCCAGCACTTGAGAGGCAGAGGCAGGAGGAGAATCTCTGTGAGTTCTAGGCCAGCGTGCTCTACAAAGCAAGTTCCAAGACAGCCACGGCTGTTACACAGAGATACTGTGTCTCAGAAAAGCCAAACAAACAAACAAACAAAAAAACCAAACACACACACACACACACGCACAACCGAAAAACAAAACCCACCCAAACCCTGTCCCCTCCAAGGCCGCTAGAGAAAGGGAAGCCAGCATGTAGGTAGCCTCTATTTGGAGGCAGCAGTGCAGTATCAATCTTGTCTCAGCCTTGTCTCAGCTGTCTTTTCTGGGCTGTGCTGGGATCACCATGATGGCCCTGTGCCTTAGCTGCTTCCCCTCCAGCTTCCACCAGGTGGTGCTGGTGTTCACCCTCTGCCTCCCAAAGCCATTGCAGAGATGCTTCCCATTGCATTACAGTTACATTCCCAGGTTAGTTATCCTGTGGGTTTTCTTGTGATATCCTTGAACCTTAGAATCAACTAGCCTGGGCTCATAGGAGCTCACAGAGTCTGAACCGACAACTCAGGAGCCTAAATGGGACTGACCTAGGCCTTCTGCATATATGGGATAGGTGTGTAGCTTGGTTTCCCGGTGGGTCTCCTAGCGGTATGAACAAACGCTCTCTCTAATTCTTTTGCTGACTTTGGGGACCCTATTCCCCATACTGGGTCACCTTGCCCAGCCTTAAAACTAGGGGAGGTGCTTAGTCTTAATGCAATTTGATACACCATGTTTCGTTGATCTCCACGGGAGCCCCGCCATTTTCTGAATAGAAACCGAAGAAGAGTGGGTTGGGGGGAGGGGACAGTGGGGGATTTTTCTGATATGAGGTGTGAGGAGGGACCACGGATCCCATGGCAGGGGACAAACATTCCATCAAGCAGAACTTATATGGGAAGGAAGTTTATTGTGGGAAGGGAGAAAAGTGAGAGGAAATAGTGGGGGGGGGGGGAGCGCTGCCTCCTCAGAGAAATTCTGAAAGAGGGAGGGAGCATGTCTCTTAAAGGGACCTTTGCACCTGTGTACAGAGTCAGGACACTTCCCACCATGTATGAAGGGGTAATCATCTGCCTCTGACATGTTCCCAAAGAGTGGGCAGCCAAGTTTGCATTTGCCTGGATGATAACAGAGGTGAAGGACTGGGAGGAGAGAAGGAGGGGGAAACTGTGGTCAGGTTGTAAAATAAATAGCTTTTAAAATTGCCTTTCCACTGAACACAATTGCCTCTGGACTAAACGTTTTCCAGCATCTTCAGCCCTGTAGTGACAGTCGCCCTGGGTGACCACGTCACTGGGCAACCGAGCCGTTCTTTAACACAAAGTCAGGCTATCCAGATGGGATGGTTTCTGCTTGTGTACATGAAGGTTGATACCCTTATTTCTCTCTCTCCGCTGGATCTGCAGCTGGGTTCTAAAACCCCAAACTCTACCCTGACTGCATTCAGTTGTGTATTAATGCTCCATGTCCAGTCCCCTGATCAGTGGGTCTCCGTGATGGCAGCGCCACAGCTTGTGTGGACATTTTCATGGCTCTGCATTTCACTGTGGTGTCCTCTGACTGTCAAGATAAAGTCATGCAGACGAAAGAGGGAAGCACTGAGAACAAGAAAGGCTTCAGAAAACATAACATTGAAAAGGAAAGTGTGCTCCCAAGTGTCTACTGTCTGAATATGGATCTTGGCTTGAGTCTTGACTGGTTCCTGAACTGTAGTACGGAAGCCTTTACCCCTCAACACCTGGAAAAAAATCACAGGCCACCTCCCCACTATCAAACATTATCAATTATAAGGTAATGATTTGATTTTTAAAAAATGAGCTCTTTAGTTTTTAGGAAATGATTCTAAAATTCGAACCATACAATTAAGTAAATGAGTTCCTGGCAGTTGTGTGAAGATCCAGTGTCACCTGCTCTGAGAGGCTGGACGGAGATGGACATCAACCCCCAGGACATGTTTGGAGTGATGCCCATTGTAATAAAAGGTCAGTTGATCCCTGTAATTCATTCAGCTTTGGGTAAATTTTCCTTCTGCCTGGAGCTATGCCAGATTAGAGGCAGGAGCTTTTTGCCCTGACGGTGGATTTGACCCCACGTTACTTTAGGAGCCAAAAGGGGAACGAGGGAGTCTGCCATGGAAGATGTTGAGGGCTTCTGAGAAGAAACAAGCATGGTGGTTCCAGGAGCAGAACAGGGCTAGAGGCTGAAGAAGCCATGAAAGCAGATACCCGGGTGCCAGATTGCTGAATGCAACTACACCGCTGTCTGCATCCAAGACCCCAGGATGGGGGCCATGCCGAGGTAGAGGAGGAAGAAATGTTCTGTTGAGAGAGTGTGTGGACAGAGCAGGGACATTTAGGGGGTGATCTATGGAGGGCCCACAATCTGTCATGGCAGATCTTTGCTGCTCAAGCTCACAGAGAAGTCCCCATTCAAGATGCTATGGACTGAGAAAGGCTTGGGATGTCAAGGTAAGGTTGTTCCTTTGTGTGGGTCAGGAAGTAGGGTGAAAATGTGGGTGATACCCTATAGGTGGTATTCTACTGTGTGGGTCTGACCTTGCTTGGGAAGTTGGGGCTTTCAGTTTCGATTGCTGTGTATTTGCTGTGTGTTAACCAGCAGAAAGATGAAGCTGCCCCTTACCGGGATACTGTTGCGCAGCCAGTGAGCAGACGCACAGGGAAGATTCCAATTCAACCAGGGGAAGGTTTTTCTGGTAAGTTGGGGACCTCTTAATCTCCCCTACCTGCTCCTCCTCCCAGAGAAGCTCTTGCAGAGAAAAAAAAAATGATAGAGGTTAGACATCAGCCCAGAACCCAGTGTAGACTTGCAGTCATGGCGGACTCTTGTTGTCCCTCTCCATCATAAGCACAAGAAAGGGTGGAAACCCTCAGATGAGATCACCAAGGTTCCCAGAGCCTCGATGAAGTGCCAGTCTGCCTGAGACCTGGCCAACAGGCTCCCAGGGCAGGTGGCTGTTGTGGGGCCTCACTCCTTTGGAAATGGAGGGAATGAAGGATGTAGAGAAAGGCGGGCAGACAACCCCTACCTCACTGGTTCATGTGTCCTGTGCACCCTGAGGTTGGCCCTGGGTAGTTACTGCTGCCAATACCAGATTGCACAAATGTTGACTGACTTGGGGGCTTCAAGGTGCCCAGGAGTTGTGCCACACACTGTGTCTCTGAGCATATGTTCGTGCCAAGGCCCTGTGGGAATTTGAGTCTTGTTGAGGATTCGGTGAAGCAGGCTGAGCAGGTAGGAGGCAGGCCCGCCTCCCCTGGGCCTCCCCAGCCTCTGCCCAGTCAGTGAGGGGTCAAGAAGGAAGACAGACTGGCCTGTGTGTTTGGGTGGGCAGGGCACAGTGTGGGGCATGGAGGGACAAGTTGTACAACCCCATATTCAGCACGTTGAGCTCTGTCAGCACAAGGTCAAAGTCCAGATCACAGGTGGGGGTAGAGGAGACTATCTCTGTGTCTGTAAAATCAGAAAGTCCTAGAAGCTTCATTATTATTTTTTAATCCACACTTTCTCCTTGAACGGAGCTATGTCGTCAGAAGTTAGTGGCTAAATATCCAATGAATGTCTCCAGATTCCAGACAGCGGCAGTCGGGTCACACGGAATGAGGCTGTTCTGTTTGGTTTGGGCACCATATAAGACTGGGTGACATTTCCTGTGAGGGACAGACTCACAGTCCTATAGCCCTGGAAGCTGCTTGGAGGGTCAGTGAGGTACAGTAAGGGAAATGGGGGAGATAATGGAATGAAGGGGGGATGCAGTAGGCGGGGGACCCTCTGTCCAGCATGCATGGGCTTGAACGTGACTGGGGAGCTTATTAAGGATTCCCAGGTTCTAGCTGTCCTGAGCCCCCATCTCCTTGCCCTAGGAAAGGCTCCACCAAAGGGAATCGAGACTTGCTGAGAGCTTCTATCTGCCCCACTTGGAGAGTTTGTGCACAGCAAGGGAGTAGAGGCTCCCAGCCTGGGCTTCCAGCTGACCATCAGAATGGATGGATTGGGATCACCTACACATCGTCCTGGCTCCCATCCAGAGGATGCGGATGCTAAGATGCTCTTTGTGTAGCAGATTAGCGCATGGGGGAGGTGGTGGTCTAAAGGAAGCGTGAAGGAGACCTGGCCTTTCCAATCTCTTTTCCCTTCGTTTATTTTGTGATACTAGGGGTTAGCTCCAGGACCTACGCCCACTGATACTTTCTCATTGGGCTATGCCACAAGCACAGAGTGACACCGAAACAGGAAAATCAGAGTGATGTGGGAGGTGATGTATGCTCTGAATTTTATTGCCATTGGTTAATAAAGTAGCTGCTTTCAGCCAATGATTTAACAGAATATAGACAGGCTGCCAAAGATATATATAGACAGAGTAGGTAGAGTCAGGGAAATACCATATAGTCCCACCGGAGATAGAGGGATGGGACGGGACTTTATCCAGTAAGCCACAGCCACATGGCAATACACAGATTAGTGGAGATGGGCTAGTTTAGGATAAAAGAGTTAGCCAGAAATATGCTTAAGCTATTGGCCAAACAGTATTGCAATTCATATAGTTTCTGTGTGATTATTTCGGTTCTGGACAGCCAGGAACAAGCAAGTGGCCTCCCTGAACAAGAGTACAGACATTTCAACCAAGGGTAAGTCACCCCAAATGCCAGTCTTTCTTCCTATCAGCCTCTGGGGTCCTGTAGCCTATAAAACAGGACACATGAGATAGGGACGCCAGCTCTCTTGCCATATGGTGCCTTTAGCAAGAACCCATATCATCAACCCCCTTGTGCCTAGCTGCTCACAACTAGATCACTCAAGCCTGGAAACTCATGGCTAGAAAAAACGTAAATCGAGACTGTGCTTTCGTCTCCTGAGAGCCCAGACACAAATAATAGCACGAAACCTATATTAATTACAGCACTGTTTGGCCAACAGCTCAGGCATATTCCTAGCTAGCTCTTACATCTTAAATTAACCCATTTCTATTATTTTATAATAGAGGCTTGTGGTTCGTTACCTCACATCTTGCTTCTTGGACAGTGTCTGCCTGACTCTGCCTTTCATCTCCCTGCATTCAGCTTAGTTTTCCCACTTAGCTATATTCTGCCCTGCCATAGGCTAAAGCAGCTTCTTTTTTAACCAATGGCAATAAAACATATTAAAGCATACAGAGGGGAATCCCACATCAGAGAACCATGAGACAGCAGCCTCCACTGAAGCTGTCCCCATTCAATCCCACAGTTTGTTTTCTCTTCCTTTTAGACCCACAGAGAGCTGTGCATAAAAACTGAGAGAGACCCCACACCTGTCTTCAGGGACCCTGCAGCCCTCATGGCCTCCAAAGGTATGGATTCCTCTTCTCTGGCTGTTTCCTGAGTGTGGTCTAGAACCCTGGACCTCCACACTGAGAGCTTGTTGAGTAGAAGATAAAAAGAAAGCCTCCAAAATGTGCCAAGAGGAGACTCCTCTACCTGGGTATGAGGAGTTCTCTTTCTTGGCCCTGTCTTGAGAAACATTCTCAGATTCCCCTCCTCCCTCCCTTGCTTCTCAAGAGGGGTTAGGAGGGCCTAGAGAAGTGGAGGAGAGCCGGTCATATGGCTTAGTGACAACTTCCAAAGTCTGAGGAGACTCCAAGCTCCCCACCACACAGGAAAACACTTGTGTGTGATATTATTCACACCAGGTTCCCCAAGCTTGGCAGCTCCTGCGAATGAGTCCTTCGTCTCCTATGAAAACTCACTGCAGCTAGGATATGAACAAGGGTTCCCGTTGCTGTCATTAAACACTGGGACCAAAGTAAGCACAGATGAAGGCGTTTATTTCACTTCCACTTTCCAAACCATAGTTAATCAGCAAAGACCATCAATGTCAGGAACTCAAGGAGATAAGGAACCTAAGGCAGAAGCTGGTGCAGAGGCCACAGAGAAACGGCACTCACTGGCTTGCTCTTTTTAGCTGTGGGTCTGTAGAACAGCCAAGTGGCAGAGTCAACACAAGGCTGTCTCGAAATCTCCTCCGCCAATAAAATTTATCTATAAAAGCTGTCACGGTCAGGCCTGTCCCAGCAATAACTCCCGCCTTAGTGCCATCTGCCGTTTTAGTTCTCTTTCCATTGCTGTGCGGTGATACCATGACTAACGCAACTTAGAGAAGACAGTATTTAATGGGGGCTTGCAGTTTCAGAGGATGAGCCCTTGACCGTCATGTCAGCAAGCAGGAATGTGCTGGAGACAGAGCTGAGAGCTTTTATCTGATCAACAAGCATGAGGCGAGAAGGGGGTGGGGAGCTGAGAGTGGAGTGGGCTTTTGAAACCCAGTGATATATCTCCTCCAAAAAGGCCATCATTCCCAAAAACATCCACCAATGGGGGACCAAGCATCCCAATTAATGAGCCTATGGGGGTCATTCTCGTTCAAACCACCACAGCTAGCTTCACTTTTCCTACATTCAATTACTTCTGACATTGTTAGTTGTTTTCGTTGAAATGCTACCTTTATCCAACAAGCTAATGTCACAAACTTCTGAGGGTTGTAAGTCCCATTCATAGGCTCTGATGCCAGTGATGACATGCAAGAGCCTTAAGGAAGACGGAAGTCACCCTTGCAAGGTTGTCACTTTCTGAGACTGTGACACCTTCCAACTGTTCAGAGCAGAAGACATTTCATTTCATTGCAAACCACCGTGACAGATAGGTATATGAGTCGACACAGCTGCCATCCCATCATCCCTCAGGCTGAGGGCTTGAACCTAAGACTTCTGTCTCTCTCAGTTCTGAAAGCCAAAGTTCACAATGAAGGAATGGCAGGTAGGTGTGGTGAGGGCACTCCTCCAGGTGTGTAGCGGCAGCCTAACTGGGAGACTACACACCTCCTCTCCTGTGTGCATGGAGACAGAGAGGCGGGAAGGGACCAAGTGGAGGTACGGACACATAGTCATAGAGATCGACGATGATAGGTCAGAAGGTAGGTCAGTAGTTCTCAACCTATGGGTCTCAGCCACTTTGGAGGTTGAAAGACCCTTTTACAGAGGCCATCTAAGACCATCAGAAAACACAGATATTTACATTATGATTCATAACAGCAAATTTACAGTTAGGAAGTAGCAATGAAAATAATTTTTATGCTGGGGTGAATCACCACAACTTGAGGAACTGTATAAAATGGTCACAACATTAGGAAGGTTGAGGACCACCAAGATAGATAGATAGATAGACAGACAGACAGTCAGGCAGATAGATGACAATATACTACTGTATCTATTCTTTTTGTTATCAGTGCCACACTCCCATGGATTAGGGACATATATTTATGACATCATCTAATCCTCATTTCTTCTCTTTCTTAAAGGCCCACCTCTAAAACTGTTCGCATCCAGAAGGCTTTTTATATGTGAATTGAAGGCACAACACATTCCCTAGCATTGTTGACTCCATTAATGCCCCCAATGGCAGATGCTGAATACTCTGGCTGTCAAGTGCCATACGCTCTTTGCCATTTAGGCTCTTCCATGCTGACCTCTAACCTCATTCTTTTTCTTCCCAAGTATTGAGAAAACCCTTCATCCAGGAAGTCACTAAGTATCTGCAGGACTCAGCAAGCAGAAGAGACCTGCAGTTCCTGTTGGCCGAAAAAGACGCTTGGAAGGTGTTGGTGGCAGAGGCTGAATTGTCCAGGTCATCTCCACAGGATTCCCCAGAATGTCCCCAGTTTTGCTCTGATCCCACACCCCAGTGCTCACCTACAGAGTTCCCAATGAGCAAATATTTGGTAGTCATGGCACAGACCTTGAGTGGAGCCATCTTTATCATGTGCCTATCACTAATGTGTGTCTTAACATGACTTCACACACTGCACCTATGGACTAAGAACCATTGAGTGTCTGTGGTCACCCTGTAGACTGTAGAGAGTCTGGGGTTTCTTGTAGAATGCAGAGTCCTGCACATAGTAAAACTCCTTCCCATTGGTTCTACAACGTAATTCTGTGATTTGCATGAGATAGATATTGGGGAACCCATCTTACAGCGAACAAGCCGTCTTTCTGATGCTCTGACCTCTTCTGTTACAGAGATGAGGAAGCTGCACTGCGGAAGGCTCTGGAGCAGCTCCCAGTCGTGGAGGACAAAGAACGGCTTCAAAAAGAACTGCAGGACAGGAAGAGGTTTGTGGAAGAATTTCCTCAGTTGAAAAAGAAGATAGAGGGAAACATCAGGAAGCTCCGAGCTCTGGCTGACCACCTTGACCGGGTGCACAAGGGCTGCACCATCTCCAACGTGGTGACCAACACCACTAGAGTTGCCTCTGGAGTCCTGGGCATCCTGGGTCTATCTCTGGCACCTGTGACAGCAGGGGGCAGTCTGCTGCTCGCAGCCACTGGGGTGGGGCTGAGGGCAGTGGCTACTGTGGCCAGTACTGCCACTGTAGCTGTGGAAGAAACAAGCAAGTGGTCAGATGAAGCCAAAGCCAAGCGCCTGTTGTCAGACACCATGGATACTATGAAGAAAGTTCTTGACCTGGGGAATATTGCTCTCACACTTTATAAAACGTTCTGTGGTGTCTTCAATGAATTGAAAATCTTGGGACAAAACATCCGTGCCATTAGGGTAGCCATAGCCAACCCTCACTTAGTGGCAGATAGCAAGCTCCTCATGACTGCTGGAAGAATCTCTGCCCAACAAGCTAGTCAGGTGAAGAATGTCTTTAAAGGCACTGCTCTGGCAATGACCAAAAAGGCCCAAATCAGAGGGGCAGCCACTGCAGGTGTCTTCCTGGCAGTCGATGTGTATGACCTTGTAAGAGAATCTATGCATTTACATGGTGGAGCAAAGTCAGAGTCAGCCAAAGAACTGCGGGCGCTGGCTCAGGAGCTAGAGAACAAGGTGAGAGAGATTGCCAAGATCCACAAGACCCTCCAGGTTTCTTAGTGACAGCTTCCCCTGAGCAACCCAGAGGTCAGCTGAGATGACTTAGACCAACTAGAGGCACTGAGGCATTTTTCTGGAGGAAGAATGAGGTAGTTAGTCTTAACCGTCATCTCGACACAATCTAGTATCCTGTGGGAAGGCAATCTCGATGATTGTCTAGCTCAAGTTGTCATGCTTGGGAGGGATTTTTCTTTATGACTCTGTTCTCTAGGTATGGTTCTGAACTGTATAAGGAAAAGCAGGCTGTGCACCAGTAAGCATGCATGCAGGAACTCACTTCTCATTGCGCTGGACTGTGGATGCATTGTGACTAGTTGCTTTGACGTTCTGCCTTGACTCCCTCAGTGATGGACTATAGCCTAGAACTATAAGCTGAATAAAAGCTTTCTCCTCTCAGTTGCTTTTCTGTTGGGTGTTTATCACAGCAACAGCAATGAAAGTTGGGGAAGCAGAGAGTGTGGTAGTGAGTCTATAGAACTGTGTGTTGAGGAGTTTGTATTTCTGTGGCTCACTGTATGGTTAATACGGACGGCTAGAGGGTCAAGGAAAGATGTGGCAGCAGCCTGAACTGAGGGACCAGAGAGGACAAGAGATTGTGGGAATGGGTCTAACGACACATAGTGGTTTGTGGGTATGAACAGAGTGGGGTGTGCAGGAGCAAGTAATGGGAAGGTCAGGGAAACAGAAGAGCTGGGAGTAGGAGGCTCCAAGCCTCCCTCCCACAGGACAATGTGTTGTGAGCCACAGCCCTTTCTGTCCAGCATCAGCTGTACCAACTCCCGCTCTGTTCATCGGGCACCTTCCATATGATGACAGAGGTGCTGGGGAAGGTGGCGGTGACAGCACAGGGAGTAGAACTCTTGACGAGGGGCAGCCCATGAAGGGGACAGGGTGGCAGGAAGAACTCTTGAAGAAGGGCAGCCCATGAAGGGGACAGGGTGGCAGGAAGGACCAGTGAAATTAAAACCAATCTCCAAGTGTCGAGCTGGGTCAGTAGGTGATTTGGGGAGATAGGGGAAGCGATGTTTAAGTAAGAGATCAAGCAAGTTGGGGGTGGATATATTGACTAGTTTGGGATCCTGAGACCCAGCCTATGAGCCTCGGCCCCTCTCAGTGATGGAAGGGGAGATAGGCAAGATGATGTCTCATATCAACTGGCTCTGCCCACATCTATAATCTACGGTTAAATAAATATTGCTGACCGTTGGGGAAAACTATAATATGAAACAACCAACCAAGAGAAGGAGACATGCGACCAAACATGCAGAAAGTGTCAGCATGTCCTGACTGTAATCTTTACTGTTTTTAATCTTTAAAGATTAAGTTTATTTGGAGAAAGTCAAAAATATTTCAACTGAAAGGGAGGATTGTACATCTCAAGGTGTCTCCTAAGTAATGTCTACAGATTACAAATCATTTTCACAGAAGATATCTTTGTACAAATGTTTCATGTATTCAGAAGCCTAAGTCAACCTCTGTCTTATTTTAACTAGGAGAGTGAGTCAGACCCACCTTCTCTTGGATGCAATTATTTGAAGAAAAGTAGACAGAGGGCAAATTGTCTTTTATTGTCCACAACCACATTCAACATAGGTCTTTCTCTAAAAGAGCACTTTCTAGCTACTGGCCGTCAACTGGGTAAGTGTTTGCTATGCCCATCGCACAGCACACTAAACCAACGCTCTGGCAAAGCAGGCTTAGAGCTTGCATGAGAGACCATGATGTCATTTATATGACTTCCTGTAGCAGAAAAACCTGCCATCTCTGGAGTGGATGCCTATAACAGTGCACATCAAAGCACACAGGTCAAGTTACTGTGTTGCCAGTAAAAGCAAGACCTTCAGCTGCTCTTTCTATTAATCTCTAGTCTAGAAGGAAGTCAAGAAACCACCCTCATGAACAGGAAACCACACACTGTAGGTCACATGATAGACCCGAGCACCAGCATGGGATTCCAGTAAAGGAAACTTGTATGTGGTAGGGTATCCGAGAGAGAAGATAACTCAGATACAGGTTTAAGTCAATAGAAAGTCTTTATTGACTGGCCAGTGACTACAAGGCTGTTCAGAATCCCAGTATAGCACGGATCCTTTCTCAGGGGGAGCTTTTAAGCACAAAATCCTTATCCTAGGCTGACGTGCTTCAGTTAACAAGAACAGTCAGCCAGGAGCAGAACCACAGAAGTAAAAAGGCAAGGTTAGTACACTTATGGACTTTCTCAGAAGTATGGACTTTGATGGGCTAAGTCTTTGTTTCCGTTTTGTGGTTCTGTCTACATGCTGACTTTTGCAGCCTGAATGGTGCTCCCATCATGGAGTCAGTTTGCTGAGGTTTGGAGGCTTACTAAGAGCTGGGGGCCTTTTTCAATAGAAACCTGAAAACACCCAAATCAAGGCTGAAGGACTGCAGCTCAAATCTCCCTATTTATACAGCCCTATTCACTACCTCAGCCCATCAGCTGAAATGCCCTGACCTCCAGGGGCGAAGGCAGCAGGAAAAGGCAGACAGGAGCAGGAATCAAAGATAACAAAGAGATGGTTCCCTTGAGAAAAGCAGCGACTCCTGAGCCTACACATTCTGGTCTTCTGGTGACTGAGATGAAATGTCTCTGATTTCCAACCTCTCCTTCTCTCTCTCTCTCTCTCTCTCTCTCTCTCTCTCTCTCTCTCTCTCTCTCTCTCTCTCCCCCCCCCCCCCCCCCCCCCCCCC